CGCCGAGACGCAATGAAGGCTTGCGCGCCCGGCAAAGAGGCGTCATCAGGGCAAGAGTGGGACCGAGTTGGGGATGAAGTGCGCGGAGACGAGCGACATGACGCCAATCATGGCGAGGCGGCCGTTCTTCAGCTCCGAGACTCGCTTCTCGGCGAGCACCTCGGAAGAGAGCTTGGCGGTGAAGCCGAGCGGGTCCCACAGCAACGGGATCTTGCCCGGCGTGCCCCCGGCCTGTCGGAGGCAGGGAAGCACCCTTGAGGCATCGCGGGGTACCCTTGAGATGTCGGAGCGAGGGGCGTGCGAGTGCGCGCGGATGTGTTTGTGGGCTCGAGCGGGGCGGTGTACCATGTAGTGCGGCTTGATTGCCGACTCGCCGAGGATCTCGAGCAGCCCCACGATGCCGAGGATCTGCGCCTTGCCGTTCTCCGGCGTCGCGTCCCACGCGGCGTATCCGTCGCGGCCGAGGGACTCGAAGGTGATGCCCTGCTCCACCGAGATGTAGCCCGGGAAGAGAGGGCCGCCCGACGAGACCCACGCCCAGCCAGTGACGGCGGCCTGCGCGGCAAGCAGAGACGGGGATGGTAAGCGCGGCACTGCCTGCGGAACTGGTAGCGTCTGTGGTGGTGCGGTGTCGGCTGGTACGGGCGCTTGTGTGGGCAGCTTGGCGAGCCGCGGCCCGCGCACCATCGCGATGCGTCCGTGCTTGAGCTCTGCAGCACGATACCATGCGAGCGTCTCGGACGACGCGATCTTGGACAGGCCAATCGGGTCGAAGACTTGGCCGCCCGTCTCGGGGCCGGTCCCTTCCATGTCTTGAACGCCGAGGCGGACAGTGGCGCGTGGCGACGCGACGGGCAGGGAGCGCGCGGTGCAAAGGAGCATGAGGAGGAGTTGGGCCAGCGACCTCTTGGGCACTATCGAGACACGTCGAGAAAGAAATCGCATGCGGCGCCACACAGAGCTCCTCGGGTAGAAAAAAGAAATCTGCTTGCTCATCCCAGGACCACAGGGCAGGGCACGCTTTGAGCAGAGCGTTTGGGCACTATGGAGACACGTCGGAGAAAGAATCGCGGCTGTGTAA